TGCTGCTGACTCATATTTGGTTTGCAATCCACAATTATAACAATACTTTTTTTGACAGGCGCTAGGAACAAGCCACGTATTTCCGCAAACCACATGTTTCCTCCTTCTTTCCTAAGTGGTGAAGCTTTTAACTAAGGCTTCCAGGATCCAAACTAGCAAATTTCTGCCGTTGTTTTCTTTGGGGTGACAGACCTTCCCTGGAAAAAGCAATTGTGCACACCTAACCATGGGACGCATTTTGCCAAATGTTTCTCGGCTTGCAGAAAGTTGCACGTGCTTTTAAACATGTGGGTTTCTAATTTGTAAAGGTGGTGAACATCTGACTGTTTTGTGGAAGATACAACCCTGCCTACTTGAAGAGTTTATCATGTGGATTATTGTTCATTACTGTGATGTATTACTAACCTAACTGTGCTGGCTGTAAGCCACTCAAGACAACCAACAATTTAAAATTAAGTCAAAACAGACAGAATTTTTGTGAATGCAACTGAAATGGTCTTGTTAAAGAAGAGGCTTTGATGGTCTCTAAGGATCCGGCCACATCTAACAGTCACTGCCTCCCAAACTAGGCCAGATAACTTGTATCATGTTCAAGAAAGCTGAATTAGCAGTGGGAAAATAATTGTATCTACACTCTCCTTGAATTGAAACCAGACTTACGAGTCAGCAAGCTTAACGTAGGGCTGCGATGTTATGCCAGGTTATTTTTGTTCATGTGGAGTTCACGTGTGTTTTTTCCTCTTGTGGTGCATCATTCAAATAGGTTTCAGGACTGCAAAATAGTCAGGCATTGAGACATACCTGATGGAGCTTGTGAAGCACAGGTCGTCCTCAACTTACGACCACATTTGTACTGGAAAAATGTCCCCATTGACTTTGCTGGTCAGAAGCCAGCTGGGACGGTCACCAGTGGCGAGCAGCTGACCACAGGATGCTGCCAACATGATAAATGCAAACCGGTTGCCAAGCACTCAGATTTGGAATCACATGACTGTGGAGACCCTGCAACAGTTGTAAATGTGAGGACCGGTCCTAAGTCACTTTTTTCAGTACTATCATCACTTCAAATGATGCCCAAACAAATAGTCATAAGTCAAGGACTACCTGCAGGTTTGAAACTCTACCCGGTTTTAACCTGTGTCATGGCTGCCGTTTATGAACCACATCCTTCAAGGTACCCTTGATTCCAAAGCAGACATCTCTGTGCTGTCAATTAGCCTTATTGACTATAAACATAGAGATAATAATAATAATAATAATAATAATAATAATAATAATAATAATAATAATAATAATAATAATAATAATAATAATAATAATAATAAAGTTGGAAGGGACCTTGGAGGTCATCAAGTCCAACCTCCTGCTCAGGCAGGTAACCCTATACCATTTCGGACAAATGGCTGTCCAGTCTCTTCTTAAAAACTTCCAGTGTTGGAGCATTCACCGCTTCTGGAGGCAGGTTGTTCCACTGGTTAATTGTTCTCACTGTCAGGAAGTTTCTCCTTAGTTCTAGGTTGCTTCTCTCCTTGATTAGTTTCCATCCGTTGTTTCTTGTCCTGCCCTCTATGGAGATCCAGAGATGGATAATAATTTTTGGGGTTGGGTGTGTGTCTGAATTTGGGGTTCTGGAACCTGGACTTGCTAATATTGCACCCTTGCTAACGTGTTCCCCGTTTGCTCAGCCATGGGTGCTGGGACCTCACGTCTACCTGTTGGAGCTATAGAGAGAAGAGGGGATTGATTTATTCTCCAAATCACCAGAGGGCAGGATGAGTAGTAATAGGTGGAAGCTTGTTAGGAGAAATTTTCTGACAGTGAGAACAATTAATCAACGGAATAGCTTGCCTCAAGGAATCATGGGTGCTCCATCACTGGAGATTTTCAAAAATAGACTGGGCAGACACTGACCAGGATGGTATAAGGTCTCTTGCTTTGAGGAGGATGTTGGACAGAAGACCCCTGAGGTCTCTTCCAGCCCTATGAGTCTATATTCTTCATGCTTCCTGAGGTTTAGATGTCAACAGAACATAGGTCCTGCATAAGGTGGACAATCATCCTGCAGCTCAACCCCAGGCTTGTTCTAGGTTTGTTTTGGCCTCCCTTATCCAGGTGGGCTCCGGCAATGTTCTCCACCTTCCAAAACCAAAGAAAAAAATGAAAAAGTGGTAAACCAAAATGCTTTACTGTCAAATGTAGACTGCTTATGAAAACCTCAGGAGAAGAATGTTGAACTGTAGTTGCCAAACACCAATTTGCACCCTCCTTTTTTCTCTGCCTGGTCATGCGTCATGCATGTGCTCCTCCCAGGGACGTTCCTTTGAAGAATTGTTTTAGGTGACCTTTGGTTTACAATGAAAGAAATCTTGTTTTTCCTCTTTCTGATTTAATGGAGAGAGAAAAGATAGGTGGCAAACAAACCCAATAATGGAATCACAAGGATGGAAAGGGCACAACCGGGCATGAGAGAAAGAGAGTTGCTCTTAGAGGATAAAATAGATGTTTCACTGGTTTTGGGTGGAAAAAGAGAAGATCTCTTCATTTCTAGCCCTGCCATTGTTAGGAACATGGAAGCAGTTGTGCCATCACCATGCATCGAAAAGGATGAACGGTTGAAGGAGCGTAACAGAACAGAATAACAGAATTGGAAGGGATCTTGGAGGTCTTCTAGTCCAACCGCCTGCTCAGGCAGGAAACCCTATATAATTTCAGACAAATGGTTGCCCAATCTCTTCTTAAAAACTTCAAGTGTTGGAGCATTCACTGCTTCTGGAGGCAGGTTGTTCCACTGGTTAATTGTTCTCACTGTCAGGAAATTCCTCTTTCTAGGTTGCTTCTCTCCTTGATGAGTTTCCATCTGTTGCTTCTCGTCCTGCCTTCAGGCGCCTTGGAGAATAGCTTGACTGCCTCTTCTTTGGGGTAGCCTCTGAGATACTGGAACACTGCTATCATGTCCCCCCTCGTCCTTCTCTTCATTAAACTAGACATACCCAATTCCAGCAGCCTTTCCTTATATGCTTTAGCCTCCAGTCCCCTAATCATCTTTGTTGCTCTTCTTTGCACTCTGTCTAGAGTCTCAACATCTTTTTTACATCGTGGCGACCAAAACTGGATGCAGTATCCCAAGTATTACCAAGGCGTTGTAAAGTGGTATTAACACTTCACGTGATCTTGATTCTATCCTTCTGTTAATGCAGCTTGTGGTCTCAATTGTGGTTGTAGGTCAAGGCTGTAATGAAGTGCAGCGATGGTTGAGATCTTGGCCGTCTTGCCAAGATAGTCTTGGCATTTTACTTTGGTGCTCTCGTATTCCCGATGACCTTCCGGCAAATTAGGCCAGGCGGAGGGAATGGGATGGGCCTCTGTTAAGGATGGGCTGGCTGCTCCACAAGCCAGATTTGCCAGTCATGCTTCAAACCCAATGTGGGTTGCTGGCTTTAGCTTGGCGCATTCGGTGGACCCCGTGTGGTTTGTAAACCAAAGCCTGTGGCTTCGTTTGAAATGTGAATCTCTCCAGTTGGGTTTTAGTCAATGGGCCACAGCTATACCTGATCTGGAGACCCGCCACAGTTAGATGCTCTGGAGGAGAAGTGCTGGCGACGTAGGCTGGGGTCCCTGGCTTCAGATCAGCCCCCTTCCTCCCCCCACAACAGCTATTCTCATGGGAGCAGCCCAGCATGGATGGGAGAGCATAGCTGAGAAATTGCCGCACCGCTTTTCGGCTTATAGGAACCCAGCCACCAATGGCAGCCACTGAGGAAGTTCCTGGGTGAGGATGGGAGGTCTGATCCCACCCACCGCGAGAAGAACAGGACTGGGTTCTTTGGCTGCCTAATTGCCACATGCCGAGATCTGTAATTGCCCTTTTTTTCTCTAATGCTATAATAGCGTGAATTACTCAAAGTGATCCCCCATTGTGTCGCAGGAGTCTCCCAGAGAGAGAGAGAGCATCGCGCAACAGAGCCCGGTTGTGTGTCTTTTTAAAAGGGTATATTTATGTGGGAACTTTGTCTCTGCCCTTCCCTTCCCTAAACTCTCTTGTGGCTTTTCTGCTGGGATTTTTTTCCCCCCCTTCTTGGTTCTCTCCTTCCTCCCATCAAAAGTCATTTGTTCGAGGGGTCCTTGGTGCTCTCTGAGCGTGCTTGATTTCTTGTAGATATTTCATTACTCATACCCAGCACTGATGGTGTTACCTAGTTTGGGTAATGAAACGTCTGCAAGAAAACAAGCACGCTCAGAGAGCACCCAAGGACTTCTCATGTCCACCCTGAGCTACACATTTATTCCTTTATTAGAGTCATTTATCTCTTTATTCAGAGCAGACAAGAGCCTTCCTCGGATTCCTAGAGGTGAGCGACGTATGCAGATTCCAAAAAAAATTCAAGATGGCAGCTATGACTAAATAGGTGAAGCGGTGCCTCTTTTTAATATGCTGAAGATGACAAACACACCCCATTGCACTTTTGAAAAAATCATATCCCCAAAATTGGTGCCTTGCCAGCCTCCCAACCCTTAGAGAAGGCATAAGTTGTGACTCTACACAAGAGCGTCCATTTCTCTTGTTCTTCCGTTCCTTGTGTGGCTGTATGTTGTTGTTGTTGTTTTTGCTTCTCAGTAATAAAATGTGCTCGTGTTGTACTAGATTTTGATGCAATCTCAGACTGCGTTTGCCTTTTTGGGAGCTGCAGTACAGTACCGGCTGATACTTAGGTTGTCTACTAGGACTCCGAGATTCCTCTCACAGTTACGGCTTATTGTTTGGGAAAAGCCAGGTTTTCATGGTCTCGTGAAAAGGCCATTAGAGATGTCTGTTCCTTGGGTGCATGGGAAGATGTTGAATAGTTTACTTGCCACAACCATGAGGGTGATGACAGAGCTTGTTTCGCCCAAACTCTTCAACAACTCTTGTAGGAAAGCTGTGCCAGCTGCCAGCTGGATTTTGAGCATGGACCCAGCTTGCCATTTTTGATTTGTGTCACTAGTAACCCTCTCTCCCACAGGTAAATCACACCTGGCTATTGTCCAAAAGGTGAATAATGAAGGTGAGGGCGACCCCTTCTATGAAGTGTTGGGATTGGTAACTCTGGAAGACGTTATTGAGGAGATAATCAAATCAGAGATCCTGGACGAATCGGATATGTACAGTTAAGTTCATTTTAAATCTTAACTTTTTTGATGGGAGGAATATGTATATTGTTAAGTGTATTATCATCCCAGGTCTGAATGGTTACTCGCAGTGGCCACTTTACTTATCTATGAAAATTCATGAATGTTTTATTATATATGATATTTTATTGCATTAGATTTCTGGCCAATGGGCATAGTATGATTTTGATTTATATCAAGTGATAGTAGGAGACCACAATGACCTCACGTGCCAGCCTGGATGCACATCAATCTACCTGTCCCATCTGACTCGTTTTGAAAATATTGTCTTAATTTAAAAGTTGTAATTGTGATAGGCCGACAAGGCAAAACTTCAGCTTCTAGGATCCTCCTTATTTGTCTGTAAGCATCTACAAAAGGATGGTAGGGAACATCCTGGTCAGTAGGCATTTTGAATTTGGCCACAGTCATCATCATCCTGGCCCTTTTGGCAGCCATTTTGTGGCCCAGCTCCACACAGGCCTCCCAAATTCCAAATGGACTCCAGTCTCCAAAATACTTCCTGCCGCTGACATAAAGATTTTTCCTCATTTGGGTCTCTTCCACGATGCCATGATCATTTCCCATCATACGGTCTGATGAATTGTGCCACGCATGTGCCCACACATCACGCTAAGTGATGACATTAATTCACTGGACTCGGCTGAGCAGCTTCTGCAAACACTGTGGTGTCTTTAATGACTTGTTCCTCGCTTGTTGTCACCACAGCTGACAACCGCACCAGGAAGCGTGTGAGCCACAAGAAGGACAAGAGAGATTTCTCTGCCTTCAAAGACAACGACACAGAGTCCAAAGTGAAGATCTCGCCGCAGTTGCTTCTGGCGGCTCATCGCTTTCTCTCCACCGGTAAGAGACATTTGAAAATAGACATGTTTGGTCCCTCCTTGCAAAGAAATGACTTTTCTTTTTATCTGCTTCATTCCACTTTTCACTGGGAGGTCAAAGCAGAGCGCAGGTAGTCCTTGACCAGGGGTCTTCAAACTTGGCAACTTTAAGACTTGTGGACTTCAACTCAGGGCTGGCTGAGGAATTCTGGGAGTTGAAGTCCACAAGTCTTAAAGTTGCCAAGTTTGAAGACGCCTGTCCTTGACGTACAACAGTTCATTTAGTGACTGTTACAATAGCACTGAAAAAAGTGAGTTATGACTGTTTTTCACACCTACGACCGCTGCAGCATCCCCATGGTCAGGTGCTCAAAATTCGGCCATTTTGCAACTGACTCACGCTTATGACGGTTGCAGTGTCCCGGGGTCATGTGATCCCCTTTTGCAACCTTCTGACAAGCCAAGTCAATGGGGGAAAGCCAGATTCACTTAACAAGCACTAACTTAACAACTGCAGTGACTCGCTTAACAACAGTGGCAAGCAAGGTCATAAAGTGGGGACAAAACCTGCTTAACCAAAGTCTCGCTTAGCAACGGAAATGTTGGCCTCCGTTGTTATCATGGGAATATCCTTTCATTTTACCTCTGCACCATCGGGAAGAAGGTTGGGTTGAAGGCTACGATCTGGCTCCAGAATTATTCCGCAAAGGCCCGAACCGGCCTCTCTCCAGCCCCAGCCCAGCACATGAAGAGTATCTTGGCCATAGTGACCCCAAGTAGTTTCTCCACCACCAAAAGAAGCCCTGGGTGTCTGGGTCAATGGGAGTTATAGTTTCTGCCCCAAAGTTCAACCAAGGCTACTTCCTTCTCTCATCCCACGATCAGACAGAGCCGCTGCCCACAGTTCAACAAAGCAGATTCCAGACACCAATATGAAACTCACACAGCAGGTCGTTCCCCCCCCCTCCCCTTGTCTCACGGGGAAATTATAGGGGTCTGCGGATTCAGCCAGGCAAGCCTCCATTATCCTGTCTGCTGTGGCTTTAGGTTTGATGGGGAGTTTCCTTCAAGCTTCGCTTGTTTATTTGTCTCCCACCCCACGCCCTGTCCCACCCGGGCAATTAAGCACCAACAAAAAAAAAAAGCAAAAAGCTTTTTGGCCCAGATGTTGTAAAGTTATAGTTGGGGAGAGGGGAGAAAATCCTTCTTTCTGAGAAAGGGAAAGGAGATTTTAATTAAAGGCATTCTTCGACTTACAGCCATTTGTTTAGTGACCGTTTGAAGTTACAATGGCACTGGGGAAAAAAGTGAATTTGGATTGTGTTTCATTTACAACTGTTGCAGCATTCCCATGAGAGTCCCCTGCATTTGAGAGTCATTTTGTGTGTCAGGATACCCCTGAAATCTTTCAATGGGCATCATGCATTGTAAAAAAAACAAAAAAGGGGTGAAGGAGGGGAAGGAATTGCTCTTGAATAAAACATCAGGAAATTTTAAGGTATACCCCCAGCTTCTTACACTTCCTGTTGCACTCTGAACCCACCCCTCTGAAAATACTAGTACATCTTGTGTCCCCCAAAGCATGTCTGTCCACGCACAATGTTGTCAGGCACAAAGGATCAGGACCTGTAACTCAGAAAGATTTATTGTACACAACTATATGCAAGAATCTGGTCAACTAATGGTGGACATTAAATTGGCACTAGATAAGGGTCAGAGGAATTTAAGCAGGGCTGGACATGGATCTTTTGTGGCAACAGTAAGGGTTCTAAGCTGATGACACATTTAACACCACCCCCAGCTCTGCCTGCTCTTCTCCTATAGACGGAGCTTCAGTTCCACAATCGGCATGCAAATATTGTAGCATCAAAACTCAGAATCCAAAGCAAATAATCAAGGCTCACTGCAGTGTTTATTGTTAACAGTGCCCACTGGAGGAGTTTCCTCCAGGGAGCAGTGGGAATAACTCTTGCAAGCCAAAGGGGGCTCTCATCATTACACATTTCAAAAAAAGAGGAGAAAATGATACAGTCAAACATATCCATACAATAGATGATGTAAACATAAATACTCATAATTAACAAATCTCAAGTTACTTCCCCACCCGTCTATTGTTGGTACCTTCGAGAAAGAATTATTGACTTAATAAAATATCACTTACATTGCCTTAGAAATTTTGATGTATCTTAATGAGAAGCAGGCACATGAAGGCTGCAATTTTTCATGTGCCAGTTAGCACACATTTGTCCATGTTACTGTTTTGCTAACACTCTCCCACTTCTCTAAGAAGGTGCAATATAAAGTGTAGAAATTAATTTGGCATGAAGTGGGAATTCCAGACACTGTCATCCCACGCTTACTTATTTCACTCCTACAGCCCAGCCTTTCTGCAGGAGCTGAAAGTAGCGTACCTACTGCCCTTTCCTTCTCTTTTTCCCCACAAGAACAACCCTGTGAGGTAGGCTGGACTGAGAAAGCCTGATCTGCTTCCCCAGGGAGCTTCTATGGCTGAAGAAGGACTAGAAGAAGGAGTCAAGCTATTCTCCAAAGCGCCTGAAGGCAGGACAAGAAGCAACGGATGGAAACTAATCAAGGAGAGAAGCAACCTAGAGCTAAGGAGAAACTTCCTGACAGTTAGAACAATTAACCCAGGTTAATAATGATAATAATAATAATAAAGTTGGAAGGGACATTGGAGGTCATCTAGTCCAACCCCCTGCTCAGGCAGGAGACCCTATCCCATTTCAGACAAATGGCCGTCCAGTCTCTTCTTTAAAACGTTCCAGTGATGGAGCCACCCACAACTTCTGGAGGCAACTTTTGTTCCACTGGTGAATTGTCCTCACGGTTAGGAAGTTTCTCCTTAATTCCAAGTTGCTTCTCTCCTTGGTTCGTTTCCATCCGTGGTTTCGTGTCCTTCCCTCTGGTGCTTTGGAGAATAAGTGGACCCCCTTTTCTTTGTGGCAGCCCCTCAAAATACTGGGATGTCGCTGTCAACGCTCTGCCTTTTTTTTTTCTCCCCCAGAGGTGACGCAGTTCACGCCTCCTTTCATTTCGGAAAAGATCCTGTTGCGCCTTCTCAAGCACCGGGATGTAATCAACGAGTTAAAGTTTGACGAGGAGAACAAGAAGTGTCCCCGGCATTTCCTCTTCAACCGAAACAAGCCGGCTGACTTCTTCATCCTAATCCTTCAGGTAACGGAGCCGCCTCGGATTCAACTCGACAAGGAGGAGACCAATCCGTAAGGGAGGCAGAGGGGGAAAAGGGCTTAGGAGGTGGGGCGGGGTGAATGTCACATGCACCATGGCTTCATTTTGCGATGGCTGTGAGCGATGACTAATTGGTGCCATTTGCGCAAGGGTGAAACTGCGTTATTCGTGTCATTCAACGAAGGATGAAATGACACTATTCTCGGCCTTCGCGCAATAATGAAATTACAGGATTGGTGTCCTTTGCCCAGTGTTAAAATTACGTAATTTGTCCCTTTTGTGTAAGGATGACATTACGTTATTTATGCCTTTTTTGTGAGGCAATGAAATTTACGTTGTTGGCTTCTTTCAAGCAACGATGGAATTATATAACTCGCATCATTCTCGCCGTGATTGTCAGGATCAGGGCCATATGGTAAATTGTAGTTCAAAAAGGAATTTATTGCTCATGCCTATACGCAAGAATTGAGTCAACTAAAGCTCAGTATTAAATTGGCACCAGATAAGGGTCAACGAAATTTAGGAGGGATTGGTCTTGGATCGTTTCTGGCAATGTAACGATGCCAAGCTGATGACTCATTTAACTCTGCCTCTCAGCTCTGCCTGTTCTTCTCCTATTACAGTGATGAAATTGTCATTCGCATTATTCGTGCAATGCTATATACCTTCATGTCATTGGCGCAATGAAGAAACCGTGTTATTTGCGTAAATTCAAATTATGCAACTCCACTCGTTTGCACAATAATGAAGTTACGTTATTTGCATCCTTTCGGCAACGGTGTGATGTGTAGGGACAACCTCGTGGCGCATGCCAAATGCCCCTTTGTAGGTCTGGGTTTAAGCAAGGTGGAAGGATTGTGGTCGGATCTGGGTGTGTTTTTAAGATTCATTTGCAAACCATGGAATCTCTGAGCAGCTTTGGGCCTGGGAAATATGATCAGAATTTGTCCTCAGTTGGCAGAGTTCCTAGGAGAAAACAAAAAAAACAGCAGGAGCTTTTAAAGAGCTTTAATTGTGGCATCTTAATGGTGATAATTGCCTGAGAATGCCCACCCCCAACTCTCATCCCCTCAATCAACAGATACAGTTTTTCTGAATAATGCTGTCTGGTTGATTCAGCTCCAAGGAACATCTGTGGCGTTATAAAACAGATTTTTTAATTTTTCAGGCCATGGAACGTGTTAGAACTCTCTAGTAATAGAAAACTATTTCAGTAAGAGGTGTCCAACCTTGGCAACGTTAAGACACATGGACTTCAATTCCCACAATTCCCCAGCCAGCTATGTTCCCCAGTCTTTTTTTTGCCCGTCTTTCCGAACATCATCCCCCTCCCGAGATTAGATTGGCCCATCCCTCTTGGCTTTTCGTAAGATCTCGAATATTTGGCTTTGTGCCTGAACCTGGGGCTCTGGGTGTGCATTAGAGCCAACTTCTGAGTGGATGATAGATTAAATCAGGGGTTGAATCAGGCTGGCTGGGGAGTTCTGGGACTTGAAATCCACAAGTTTTAAAGTTGCCAAGGATGGACACGCCTGGATGAAATTGGGCTCATCTGCTATGTGTTTTTATTTTTACTCGTTACATTGCTTATTTTATGTTATACATTTGTTTGATTGTGAATTGCCTGGAGTCACATTAAAGTGAGTTGGACAATTATATGAATCAGATAAACAAACAAACAAACAATTGCATTTTTAGCTCTAAAGATGGACCATAGTGTAAAAAAATACACTTAAATATTCATTTTAATACTTCTCTCCCTTGTCTTAATCTGGATTGAAGCCCCTGTATTTGCAATTCTGTTTTTTTTTTTTTAAATCCCAATTTACTCCTTGTAAAGATTTTCCCAGTGGCAATGTATGGTTGTGAAAGTTGGACCATAAGAAAGGCTGAGCGCCAAAGAATTGAGGCCTTTGAACTATGGTGCTGGAGAAGACTCCTGCAAGACCCCTGGACTGCAAGGCGATCCAACTGGTCAGTCCTGGAGGAGATCAACCCTGACTGCTCTTTAGAAGGCCAGATCCTGAAGTGGAAACTCAAATACTTTGGCCACCTAATGAGAAGGAAGGATTCACTGGAGAAGAGCCTAATGCTGGGAAAGACGGAGGGCAAGAGAAGAAGGGGACGACAGAGAATGAAGTGGCTGGATGGAGTCACTGAAGCAGTAGGCGGGAGCTTAAATGGACTCCGGAAGATGGTAGAGGACAGGAAGGCCTGGAGGAACATTGTCCATGGGGTTGCGATGGGTCGGACACGACTTCGCCACTAACAACAACAAAGATTGCAATGCTTGGGAATGACGACCATTTCCCAAAGATTGTTACTTCCCCCTTTCTCCCCACCACTTTTACTCTGCAAAGTAGGGTCCCAATCCAGATGAAATTCCCCCATAGAATTAAAAAGGGGAGAAATTCAAACCCCCTACGTATTTCCTTAAAATAAAACTGCTGACCTTTTTTTAACTGCACCAAAAGGCTTCTGAGAGGCAGCCAATGTAAGCTGCTAAGCTGGTGGGTGTTTTTTTTATTAATTTATTTATTTTGCTTTACTTTGTCAGGGCAAAGTGGAGGTAGAAGCTGGCAAGGAGAACATGAAGTTTGAAACTGGGCCTTTTTCTTATTACGGAGTGATGGCTTTGAGTCCCTGTGTCACAAGTAAGTTCCCCACTTCAGTTGGCTGGGGGGGGGGGCGGGAGGGGACAGGAGAGAGGCATAGAAAAAATGTCAGATAACACATTGAGACTCCCAGCTTTTATTCATTGACTCACTGGTTTATTCAGTGTTTTGAATAAGCACTGGTGATGTTTCCTAATTGGGCAATAAAACACCAAGCTCAGAGAGGAGCAAGGGCTCCAAAATTCAGCATTTTTGCCTTGCCCACCCCAATCAAGAAAACTCAACCAATTACAGGTCATCCTTTATTTATGACCACAATTGAGCCCAATGTTTGTTAAGTGACTTTTGCCCCATCTTTACGACTTTTCTCGCCACATTTGTTAAGGGAATCGCTGTAGTTAAGAAATTAATAAAAGGGTTGTTAAATGAGTCGGGCTTCCCCATCGACTTTGCTCGTCAGAAGGTTGCAAAAGGGGATCACGTGACCCC